GCATCATATGCTGGTGTTCTGCCTGGACTTCCAGCCCAGACTCTCCTGAACTTACAAACCAGACCCAGGCTTCTCGAAATCTGGTCTGTGGACCAGTGCCGGACCACACACTGTTTGTTGCTGGTCTAAATTCAGAGAAAGAGCTTTGTGTCCAAATGCAAATAAACAACATTGCTAAGCACGCTGTTTGGTTCAACTGAATTTTTTCCTCTGTCTGAAAGGAGCAGAACATTAATCTACCTTCTAGCTGAGCTCCTTTTCTCATCACAGCGCACAGAGAAGGTACTTTTGGGTAACTCTGATCTGTACAGTCTCCTCCTGACAATTCAGCCTCGATACCCCACAGACCCCTCTCACCAAACTGAATTCATCACCTTAGCTCCCAAACTTGCTCCTGCTTCTTTGCTGTCTTCCTCAGTGAGTCAGTGTCTCCCTCTGACCAGGTCTCCAAGCCAGAAATGTCAGGGAGGGTCATTTATTTCACACCCCCCTCTCCAATCTTGACCAGTCATTCATCAGCCTGGTGGATACTCCCCCCTACATATAGCTCTCAAGTCCACCTTCTCTCCATCCTCATTCTCACTCGAATGAACGAATGATGTCAAGGTAGAAAGGGACAACTTAGTTGACTGCGTACTGAGCAGAGGTGATGAAATGCTGCCTGACTATGGTCAAGGTGGTCTCAGAGCCCAGACTGAACTAAGCCTGTAAATGGAGTCACGGAACTCCATCCAGCAATAGAGGTGGGGCTGGAATCAGGCAGGCCATTCCTGAAAATCTTCCACTAGGTGTGGCTTCTCTCACTGAATCTGGTTCCATTCACAAAAGGTCTCCTGGATCCCATCAAAAGCAGCTTCGGCCAAGACCATCTTTCAAGTCAAAACTCCTACCACCTGTGCATATTGTCAGCTACTTTTCATTTCTAGGCTTCCTGGTTTCGCTCTCTTCCAACCCAAGTATCACTATCCTCCCAACCCCCACCAACACCACTACCATTTCGGCTTTTGCCCTTGACTTAGACCCTATTACTTAAAATCTCGTAGTTTCCTTTACATTCCTGTAGCATATGACTTACAGAATCTGGCCCCAGATTGCAACATAGCAATAGATGGGAAGAAAGACCCACGTCTGACACTCTACCCTGGTCTTTAGGACTCCGCTGTCTATGTTGTGGTGTTGTCACTTTATGCCGAAAGAAAGATAGGTAGGACAGAGAAGGGGTGGGGGGAAGCTAGCACAGTCGGTTGGAGCCAAATAATAGATTATAGCTGGAAACTCCCGTCTTGATTTGGCTCAAGGGCCACAGCTATATTTGGCTGGCCCCTGACTGACATAATTATTATTGCCAGAAAGTAATTTTAGAAAGACCTTAAAAGGAGGACATGGGTGATTAAAGTTCTAATAATAACATTTCTAAAAAGTCTGGGTTAATGAATCTGTAACACAGGTAAAAGAAAGGAGGCTTCAGGTGTTCAGGGATTAGTACCCGGGACTGAACTTGGAAAAAAAAAATTTCTGTTGGGGAGTCAAGTAGGGCAGGCATAGATCACATGTCCCTCAGAAGTCATGTGGAAGCAGAGAGAAATGTTTCACAAAACAAATAATATTTTAAATCCATTCACTGAGCATCCCTTATGTCAGGGCGCCGTACCAGTCCCTTTGCGGGATTCCCATACGTGTGAATAGGGCTGGTCCGAACATTAGCCTAGGCATTCTGGTTCTTTATGGCCAGCGTTAATTGGCTGATGCCCTACCAGTTGTTAAATATTTTGAATGCCACCCTTGGATATAAGGCAAACTTTCTGTCCTAAAATAGCTTACAGTTTACAGGATGAGATACGCCCACGAGTAACTACAGTGCAATGCTGTCTCCTAATAATGGCTACAATTTTATTTCGTGTTGTCCTTTACAACGTGATTTCAGACCCTTTATCACATTTGAACTTTACAACAGCTCCGAGGTGCATGTTCCTATCCTCATTTTGCAGATAAGAAAGCATGAAGTTCAAGGAAGGAGGCAGACTTTCACATTGTACAGAGCAATAACTCGTCCTGGCTCGACAACATCTGATTTTCCCTCCCGTCCTTACCCTCAGGGCCCATGGCCTCCCTACTTAAAAGAGATTCATGAAAGCAAACAACTGTTTATTTCATGAATTAAGTCTTGATTTCTAAATACAGATTTTTATACCCAATAACCACATGAAGATCAGCTTTGTAGATCATCCTGATAGAAAGTTTAAAAAAAAAAAGTCTCATTCTGGGGCACCTGGGTGGCTCAGTCGTTAAGTGTCTGCCTTAGGCTCAGGTCATGATCCCGGGGTCCTGGGATGGAGTCCCGCATCGGGCTCCCTGCTCAGCAGGGAGTCTGCTTCTCCCTCTCCCTCTGTGTGCTCTCTCTCTCTCTCTCTCAAATAAATAAAATCTTTAAAATATATATATATATATATATAAAAATAAAAAGCCTCATTCTGAGAAACACGCTGCCACAAAGCTCAGGTCACACACATTCAGGAAGCACAGAGTGCCTTCAGGGACCTCAACTAAGCAGTTATGTGTAAAATAAACAAACAAATGCAAAACAAAACAAAAAAGCAAGGGTGATGTGAGTGGATTGCAGAGGGAAGAACAAAACTAAATAAGCAAGCCAGCAAACAAAAACACAATAGCCTTAAAGATTAAAAAAAAAAAAAAGTGCCCAGTTATCTGGGGACCAGACCTGCCCCCGTGAACAAGCTTCAGCATGTTGCCGTAGCTCAACACAGAACCATAGTAGGTGTTCCTCATCCCAGCCCGGAGAAAATGAGGTTAGATGCTACAAGAGAGTGTGGATGCCTGCAGAAATAAGCTTTGTTTTCTGGGACCTCGCTCATGCAGAGTACCTCATTCTCCAAGGGCCCCAGACATGTACAGCTGCTTTGAAAGCACCTCAGGCATTTAGAGAAATGGTCACGAACAGCATGCCAGTTGACTACGGGGAGAAAAACAAAATATCTCCCGCGTGAGTGATGACTACAGTCTACATAATGGCTTGTCCAATGCTCCCGATGCAGGAGGATGTGCAGATCCAGGCTCTCAGAGCTGACCCTCTGGCCGATTTCCTGCTCGCCTTCTGCATCTGGCATGCATTTTAGCAGCATTCCATTCATATTCATCCCCCGGAATGATTTCTTTCATGAAACCTTACAGAAATACTCTGTAAGGGTAGGAAGGAAACTTAGAAATAAAGCACCCCCTCCTTTTTTCAGAAAAGGAACGTGGAATTTACAAAAGTGAGATGACTTATTCAAGGTGAGTTACAAAATTAATATTAAAGACTATCATCTCTGGTGGTAGTGACTAGACATTCGTTAATTGCCATGTTTGAAAGAATCTTATTATCAAACGACTCGTGAAACCAGTAACTCCACTAGGTATTAAGGCATCAGTCACGGAAATGAGGCCACCTTATTAGTACCCGCTCACTGGAACATCCTGTTCTCTATATAAGGTGAATTTCTGAAAAGTTGGGCATATGCACACTCCTCATTATTTAGATTCTATTTTGCACATACTCGCAGATCTCTTTTTGATGCATCTTTGAAGGGACTCCAGAATAAACTTTGGCTATGAAGCAAAGCAGCTTCTTACAGCGAATATTTGCTGCCCAAGCCATTCTTTTGAGAGCCCTGACTGCTTATCTTCAGGGCTGGCATCCCGTTATCATCAGCGCGATCAGGTGCATTTTGGTCACTGATTCATTCACTTTGCCACCAGAGGGGCCCAAAGGAAACCTCTCCAGGACAGGGGGCATTTGTCTATTTTGTTCAGTCCTGGATGCCCAGGATTTAGACTCAGCCTGGAACACAGGAGGGGCACAACACGGATCTGATGACCAAATAAAGAAATATTCAGAAAGGGAATTTCTAGCCCTGGCTCATCTCTGTCACAGTATCCCCCTCCACAGAAGCTCCTCCTGCCTGTGAGGAGTGTGGCCATACAGCTACAAAGCACCACTGCCCTGCCGTCCTGGCCCCTCAGACAAGCTGGCTTTGATTTCTCCTTCTCCTGACCTGAGCAACCAGCCCACCAGCTCAGCAAGTCAGAGACGTGGGTCTCAGCTCCTGTGACCATCATCTAGGTCTTCTCGGAATGTGTTCTTCTTCCCGCTCTAACCCATCTCTCATCTCGGGGAGAATGTCCGCATCCACCATTAAGGAGTCGAAGCAACCCTTCCATGGGGGCAGGGAAGAGAGCTGCTCATTATGGGCAGGTGCAACTCAGTGTCTTGGGGCCCCTGTTAAGTCAGAAATGCCCTCTCTGCATGGGAAGTTCACCCAGAGTTACAGGGTGCATCACAATCACTTGTGGAGACAGGATGGCATAATAGTTAAGAACGTGGCCTTGGACTACTGGGTATTTACCCCAAAGATACAAATGTAGGGATCTGAAGGGGTACATGCACCCCGATGTTTATAGCAGCAATCTCCACAATAGCCAAACTGTGGAAAGAGCCAAGAAGTCCATCGACAGATGAATGGATAAAGAAGATGTGGTATAGATATACAATGGAATATTATGCAGCCATCAAAAGGAATGAGATCTTGCCATTTGCAATGACGTGGATGGAACTGGAGGGTGCTATGCTGAGCGAAATAAGTCAATTAGAGAAAGACATGTATCATATGACCTCACTGATATGAGGAATTCTTAATCTCAGGAAACAAACTGAGGGTTGCTGGAGTGGTGGGGGGTTGGAGGGATGGGGTGGCTGGGTGATAGACACTGGGGAGGGTATATGCTACGGTGAGCATTGTGAATTGTGCAAGACTGTTGAATCACAGACCTGTACCCCTGAAACAAATAATACATTATTTGTTTAAAAAAAAAAAAGAAGAAGAAGATAGCAGGAAGGGCAGAATGAAGGGGAGGAAATTGGAGGGGGAGATAAACCATGAGAGACGAAGGACTCTGAAAAACAAACTAAGGGTTCTGGGAGGGGGGGAGGATGGGTTAGCCTGGTGATGAGAATTAAGGAGGGCACATTCTGCATGGAGCACTGGGTGTTATACGCAAATAATGAATCATGGAACACTACATCAAAAACTAATGATGTAATGTATGGTGATTAACATAACATAATAATAAAAATTTTTAATTAATTAATAAAAAAAAAAAAAAGAAGAACGCAGCCTTGGGAATCAACCGACTCCAGGTCAAGTCTGGCAACTTCCACTTCCTATGTAACCTTGGGCAAGTTACTTAATTTCCTTACAACTCAATTTTCTTATTTGTCAAGTCAGGAAAATTCCAGAACATATCTCATAAGGTAGAAGCGAAAAGTAAATGTGAAACATTGCTCAACGCATGGTACGTATTATAAATGCTCAACACATTTTTTATTGTATGAGAGGGGAATAAATAAATGATATTATTTCCAGGAGATGGTGATGCAAATTGGAGAAGTCGAAGGAGGTTCAGATACTCCATATGAGAAGCAAACTGGCTCTGGGGATAGGTTCAGGATGGGGTTAACTGGACAACATGGAGGCAAAGGGAGGACAGAGAGTTTAGCCAGGTTTAGAGGGGTGGAGGACGAGGAATTGGAAAAGAAGAGGAGAGTGTCCTCTAAGCTTCTCAGGAAAGAGAACTTCGCATGGCTTAAGCAACTTTCCTGACCAGCCCTCATCATCCCCCAGACAGGGGTATGTTCCTCAGACTATGAGAACATACAGCCCTTGTTTGTTTTGTAATTTTATAGTCTGTCCCCACTGGGCTGGAAACTCGGTGTTGGTAGCTCCTCTACGGTCTTGCCCCTTGGTGTATCCCAATGTCTGGCATAGTCCCTCCCAGAGGGGACACTTGACTGCAGGTAAAGCAGCCCCAGGTCTTTTACCGTCTTCTGCCAAAGATGGGAAATCGACAAATCCCTCACTTGGAAATGATTATTGAAGAGTTTCAAGTGGTTCCTTCCTTCCCTTGCGGCTCTTGCTGTGAACACAACAGCAATAGAAAGAAATAAAAGTTAAATGTTTATTTCCCTCAACTTTAGTTCATTTTGGGTGTTAGCCTCCAGTTCATTTGTCCACTCAATGGTGTGCCTGGCTTGGCAAGAGAAAACAGGAAAAGACTGAAGGCTGAGCCTGGCCCTCTCAGGTCTCCAAGTTCCGGTCACTCTTTGGTGTCCCGGGTGGTGTGCGTCTCACCGAGGGACTCCCTGCGCAGACAGAGGGCAGGCTGAGAGCCCCAGCTTCTTGCTGCACCCCCACTCAGCCCCTGGGCCATCTGCTGTGCTACTGTGAGCCCAGTTTCCCTTACCATTCTGACCGAGAGCAAGAGATACTTCACAGGCCCCAGATCCCCCGTGCTGCTCAGAACGTGGGTCCAGCTCTCCACCCTCCAGCCCTTGCCCCACAGAGGCTGCATTCCTACCATGGGGCTTTGGCTTTGGCCCCTTATCTCTCAGTCCTTGCTCTGTCAACTCCCAGTCCTCTCCTAACACGACACTGTGCTTGGCTCCCAACAGTAATGATACCAAGGGTAATTAATAATAGCTGACAATTTTTCAGCATTTACAGCATGCCAGCCATGGTGGGTGTTACATAAATGCTGTCCTCACATAGCTTCATTCAATCTTCACAATAATCCTGAAAGACATTAGAACCGTGTGTTTCCATTTCGCAGATTAGGACACTGAGTCTCAGAGAGATTGAATAACTTACCCAGGGTCTGGGGATGGTGAAACCAGCCCTCAACCCAGAGAACCGGTCTCCCTGCATCCTTTCTTTCTTCCTCTCCCCATATTTTCCCCTTACTGAACTCTTCTTTGAAAGAAGAGAGTCTCGGGGTGCCTGGGTGGCTCAGCCGATTAAGTGTCATGATCTCAGGGTCATGGGATCAAGCCCCGCATCAGTCTTTGTGCGGGGCGTGGAGCCTGCTTAAGATTCTCTTGCTCTCTCCCCCTCTCTAAAAAACACAAAATAAAAAAATAAACAAAAGAAGACAGTCTCAATCAATCACTCCCTTGTTAAAACAACTTCAGTGCTGTCTCTGCCTTTTGGAGAAAACTCGCTCTTTCTTGGTCTGCGGCAAGGTGCTGCAAGGTCTGTCCATCACACTGCAGGGTCTCAATCGTATCCCTTTCTCTTCTGTCATTAAATTCCAGCCCCGTCAGTTCCCAGAAGAGCCTAACTTCTTTCCAGCCTTAACATATTTCAGCTTGCCATTTCTCCTCCTGAAGTCTCTTCTCCAGCCTTTGCATTTCTTACTCCATTTCTGCCTTCATGTCTGAGCTGAAATGTCACCTCACTAGCAGTTTTTCTAAACTGGGTTCTCCTCTTGTTCCGTGTCAGAACACCCTGTTCATGGTCTTCATGGCAAATAAGATTTTGAAGTTGCTTGTTTACTTGTTGATAATCTGTACTGTTTCGTTCTATTGGCATGGGTTTTTGATGAGGGCATGAGGGCAGGGACTCTGTCTCATTTATCATTGAACACACAGCTCTTTACATATTAGGTGTTCAGGCAATATTTGTTGAGTGACTGACTGGTCTGTCTGACTCAGAAGTAGATTTGCCACGAAGCCGATACATCTTCAGGGTCCCCCTTTTCTTAAGGGTCATAGGATTATGTCCACATGGTCTCATATTTTTGAAAAATTTGCAAAAGTGATGTGTTGAAGCTACAACTATTTAAAACCACAGAGGTGTTTTCTGTGGTTTCGAATACTTCCGTGTATAGTTAAGAGACTCCTAGCTCTTCCAAAGCAAGACTGATTTCCAGGAATACTTTCACTGCCCAGTATATGGGCTTACTTGCTTTTGTGACACAAATAGGCAGGGTTGTGGCATCACAAATATGGGGGTGTGAAGAAACCAGGCTTGAAATGCATGGCACCTGATGGAAGTCTGTGGGAAGTTCTTCCAAATCCTACAGCTCACTTATGAAACCTCAGTAGAGTTTTCCCAATTTTGATAACGATCTTAAAAATGTATTTGATGTTGCTAAGAATGAGTCACACATCTGAAAGAAGCTTCTCTGAACCATCATGAGGAAAAAACAAAGTTCCTGTGATCAGGGACCCACGGCACTGTGCGCTTTGCAGCGCAGGGTGAACTTTAATGTGCACACATTTTTAAAAACCATTTAGGAGGTCAGGCGATCTTAGGATGGAATGCAGAACATGACCGAATAATCTAACTGCATTAAAAATGTATAAAACAGACATCCTGAAAGGGATGGGGGAAGAAGGTGCTGACCTAAGTAACTTTGGAAATTAGTGGAGTCTGCAGGACTCATGACCAAACCAGGCTGTATGTAAGCACTATACTCTAGTGGATAAAGTTGTGTCCCACGGGGGGGGGGGGGGGGGGGGGGGAAGGTTAACAATTCTTACACTGCTGTACATGTCTACCCGGAATTGGTTAGGTAAGCAGAAGATGGTCGATAATGGGTGGCCAGCTTCCTCACTGTTGATGTGGGAGGTTACAGATGAGCATGGAGAAGAGGCTAGAATGATGATCCACGAGACAACAGTTCAGCGTTGGAGACACCAGTACAAACCAGTGTTCTGCTTAATGCAGATATAGATGGTTATATACAGAACTATTCATATATATATATGTATATATATATAGCCTAGTTTGTACATCTTCAGTATAAACCAATGATCCACTTAACAGACACCAATGGTTACATACAGAAATATTCATATATATATATATATATATATATATACACACATATAGGCTAGTGTGTACATCTGTATTTCCTTGTTTTGTCAGTTGAGAGCCTAGAGCAACTGCAAGGTAGTAGCAATGAATACACCTGATACTTACGATCTTGGTTTCTAATACCATTCTCCAAAAAAAGGAGCCAGAGCTCCTTCTAGGACTGGGGAAGGAAATAGAAATGAGGATCCTGGAGCATCCTGTAGAGTCAGAAAGTAACAAAGTATTTAATCATAATCATAATCATAATGACAGGGGTATTTCAAAGAGGCATAGGAGCCCAACTTAAAGAGCTTCCAAGTGGAAACAATTTGAGCAACAAAATAAATAAAATAGTATTGGATTATAATTATACTCAGAAGTCTGAAATTAATACCATGTATTTATAATGATACAAATAAATGATTGAACAAATACATCAGTGGGGGAGAAAAGGTAAATCTTTCATGTTGAAGATTTCAAAATAATTTATGTAGATGCTCTGCCCTCAGGGTGGAGAATAACTCCCCGCTTCTTCTCTCTCTCTCTCTCTCTCTCTCTCTCTCTCATTTTTTGTTTTTTGTTGTTGTTGTTGTTTTTTAAGTAAACCCTACACCCAGCATGGAGCCCAATGTGGGGCTTGAACTCATGACACTGAGATCAAGACCTGAGCTGAGATCAAGAGTCAGATGCTTAGCCAACTGAGCCACCCAGGTGCTCTGTAACTCCCTGCCTCTTAAGTGGGGGCCACAAATAGTGATTTTCTTTCAAAGAGGACAGAATGAGGAGAGGGAGGGAGGGGGAGGAGGGATACGTACCTTTGACAATATGTGATGAAAATGACACTTTGTCTCTGTAGTTTTCCTCCCAGAAACCTATAACCTCAGTCTAATGACGAGACAAACATTAGGTAAAACCCAATGAAAGGACACTCAGCCCCCCTCAAAACTGGTCCTCAAAAACAAAGAAAGTCTGAGAAACTTACAGCCAAGAGGAGCCTAAGGAGACCCAACAACCAAGTGCAATGTAGTGTCCTGGATGGGATCCTGGAACAGAAAAAGGATACTTGGCAAAAACTAAAGACATCTCTGAGTAGCATATTGACTTTAGTTAATAACAGTGTATCAACATCCCTTCATTAATTGTAGCAAATGTACCATATTAAAGTCAGAGGCTAATAAGAGGGGAACTGGATATGATGTGTACAGGGTCTACTTACTGTCTTCACAATTTTTTTTTTTTTGCAAATTTAAACCTGTTTTAATAAAGAAAGTTTATTTTTAAAAATTTGATCAGACATGTTAGAGGAAAGACTGAATTATCTTTCCACTCTATAGAAAATAGTCATTGTAATATGAAAAGGTGATCAAAGAATATGGAGTCCAAACACATAAAAAGAAAGCATTTTAGAGATGTATCAGGCAGTTTGCTTTGGAGGTCATAGAGTTGAGTCAAGTTCGGTTGTGAAATTGCATTATTTTTCTGTATTTTGTAAAATTTGTGAACCACCGGGCGCCTGGGTGGCTCAGTCGTTAAGCATCTGCCTTTGGCTCAGGTCATAATCCCAGGGTCCTGGGATCGAGCCCCGCGTCGCGCTCCCTGCTCAGCGGGAAGCCTGCTTCTCCTTCTCCCACTCCCCCTGCTTGTGTTCCCTCTCTCGCTGTGTCTCTTGCTGTCAAATAAATAAATAAATAAAATCTTTAAAAAAAAAAAATTGTGAACCACCAACTTTTCCAATTACATAATGCATTGTGGTTTTCTCGTTCTAAATGAAGTCACTTGTGTATTTAACTTTGTGTGTGCAATTTTGTACTGTTTTTCTTAAATCGGATCCCCAAACTGTGTAAGCTTCAAGTCCCCCAAACCAGGAGGTGCCCTGCCTGACTCCAAGCTGTGGCTCCCGACCCTTATTCCAGGTCAGTGGGCTTGTCTGCAGCCTTAGCCCAGGTGTTTAGGGACTGCCCAACCCCCCCCCCCTTGCCAACCGTTTCCCTGCCTTCTAGCACCTCTTGGAAACTCTAACTTACTGTCTTTTGGTAATTGTTTACTCCTACTATATAGTATTTCTCATACCACAGGGGCATTTTCCTTTTATACCAGACTGCATTGTTCTTTAAAAAAAAAATCATCATGCTTTCTTCTCCTTCTTCTTCTTCTTCTTCTTCTTCTTCTTCTTCTTCTTCTTCTTCTTCTTCTTCTTCTTCTTCTTCTTCTTCTTCACCACTGTATTGAGGTATAATTGAGATGCAAAAAGCGGGACTTATTTGATGTATACAACTCAATGAATTTAGGGATACATATCCATTCATGAAACCATCACCACCATCACTGCTGTAGAAATATCCATTACCTCCCAAAGTTTCCCTGTCCACTTTATTATTTTGTGTGTGTGTTAAGAGCACAACATAAGATCTACCCTCTTAGAAACAATCAAGTATCATTAGCTATAGACACTACTCTGTAGAGAAGACCTCCAGAACTTACCTTGGAAAACCTGCAGCAATGTCACCTCCCCCATTCCTGTGTGGCTTCTATGGGCTCCTCTCCATCCAGACGCCCCTGACCCCCTCCCCATTACCACTGTTAACAGCTCATGCTCTGTCCTACCCTCAGAGTACAGTTTGTTTCTCCAACTACCTCGTACCTATTCCTTCTCACCAGGACTCTACTGTATTGTCAACAATCAAGGCTCTCTTTTATTTTTAAAGATTATTTATTTATTTATTTATTTGAGAGAAAGAGAGAGAGAGAAAGCATGAGCAGGGGGAGCAGCAGAGGGAAAGAGAGAAGCAGACTCCCTGCTGAGCAAGGACTTGATCCCAGGACCCTGGGATCATGACCAGAGCTGAAGGCAGACGCTTAACCCACTGAGCCACCCAGGCGACCTGCCAGGACTACTTTCTACACAAGTTCCACCATTTCCTCCATTATCATATTCTTCCTTTTGGAACAGAATTAGGTTCTTCAAAGTAGTTTTAAATGTCATTTTCTCATCCTCCTAAAAGATTTGAAGAAACAAAAATAAATAGATATTCCTTTTCAAAGCATACGATGTCAGCCACTCTCTGACCATCTGGGTGATGTCCCCACCACAGTCCTGTTGCCTTCAGCAGCTTTTCCTGGTGCTCTGCTAGTATCCGCGTTCCTGGTTCTCACCGGGGGAGGCAGCATGGAGTAGATTTCCATGATGCTATCACCTCTGACTTCTAATTTATATCCGTATCACTTCCTCCACTTTTAACACTCACATTTGCAGCCTTGCACATGCTTTACTGCTTGTTTGGGTTTTTTTAATCTGTAGTCATAGTTCTTAAACTTCTTTCATTTCACTCGGTAGAAGTGTGTGTGTGTCTGTGCAAACACACAGTGCTTTCAACATCATCCCCAAAAGAAAAGTCTATTTCCTTTTGCTGCGCTGATCATGAGGATAAAAATAAATAAAATTGTCCTGGGAAGATAGTGGAAGAATTTTCTAAGGTAAAACTGGGGTGTTGTCGCAGTTTGGGGTATTGCTCTTTAGGTGGAAGCATTGGTTGCAGACCCTGAAGTTCGAGCAGATGTGAACAAGTGAAACAGATGTTTTCACTGGGGAAACCAGGATGGATGTCCAATTATCAACTATTCTGTTAAAGTTTTGTCTTGTTTGTTTTGTTTTTTGGCAAAATCATTGCTCCCTCTGTGATTCCTGACTTGTTACTGGGCAACAAGAATAAAAATCTACTGGTTAATTAAACCTAGCTGTAGGGAAATTATTAACTATTCCTGAAAACGGTCAAACCAGTCCTTTCACTCAATTGTTGACTCAGAGTGGAGGGGAGGATGCAAGCACAGGGGCCAGCATGGAGTCCGTGGTCCATGCACTCTGACCTCGCCATGCATGGCGACCTCATCACACACAGTCTTCCCTGCTTCCACTTAGTCCAGCCACACTGGGCTTCTCTCACTACGTAAGATGAGTCTTCGCACATTCAGTCCTCTTTCTGCAACCCTCTTCTCCCCAGTGATGTTAAATCCCCTTGTTCTGCATTGGATCCTGACCTTTTATTCACATCACTCATCTCAAAGTGATTATTTGATTAGTATTTGTTTCCCTCACCGGACGATAAACTTCAAGAAAGCAGGGACAGTGATGGCTTTTTACCATTATTGTTTTTCTTTTGCAGAGATCTTGGCATATCCTAAAACTTCAATAGTATTTTCTGATTAAATGAATTGTTACTACAACTAATAATTGATTGTATGCTGGCTTTCATTGGATTTTATGTTTAATTTGGGTCAATTAATCATCATCATCATCATTGCCATTTTAATGCTATTATTTATTAAGCATTTTCTAGACACGCTGCAAAGGGCTTTTCATAAATTAGCTCAATGAATCCTCATAAACTTCATAACAGTCCAACCATAATGGCAGCATCTATTGCCATGACCATGTTATAGATGAGGAAAACGGAGTTACAGAAGGCTATCAACTGGCCCAAGTTCACATAGCAAGTGGTTAAACCATTAAGGGATCAAGCATTTAGCCTTGAAATTTACTGAGACTTATGTTATGGCCCAGCATATGGTCTATTTTGATAAGTGTTCCATTGGCACTTGAAAAGTATGCATATTCTAAAGATGTTGGCTGTCATGTTCTATAGCTGTCAATTAGGTCAAGTTAGTTAATGCTACTTTTCAGATCTTCGATATCATTACTGAATTCCTATGTGCATGATCTATCAATTACTGAAAGCCAGACTATGTGCATAGTCTATCAATTACTGGAACTGCCAACTCTATGTGTCAACCTTGGTTAGGCTCCAGTGTCCCCACTATTTAATCACACAGTAATCTAGATGTTGCTGTGAAGATGTTTTGTAGATGGGGTTAATATCTATAATTATTTGACTTTAAGTAAAAGAGATTTCCCTCAATAATATGGGTGGGCCTCTGTCAGCTAGTTGAAAGCCTTTAAGAGCAAGACTCCAGTATCAAGTCCTGCTTGAGTTTCCAGCCTGCTGACCTGTCCTATATATTTCAGACTTGCCAGCCCCCACAGCTGCACAAGCCAATTTCTTGAAATAAACCTCTTTACACACATGCACGCATACACACATTCTATTTCTTTGAAGATTTCTGGCTGATGTAGTGTGTGTTAAAATCTCTAGTTTGATAGATTTGTCTATTTCTTCCTTTAACTCTATCAAATTTTGCTTCATATACCTTTAACAGCTCTGTTATTAGTTACATTCATATTTAAATTGTTACCTCTTCCTGATGAATTTCCCTTTCATTATTGTGCAATCTTTCTCTTTAACATTAGTACTTGGTCTGAAATCTATTTGTCTGGTTATTAATATAGACACAATTTTTTATGCATCCTGTTTGTACTGTACACTTCTTTGCATTTAAATAGCCTATAAGTGAGTATTGCTTTTTCTATTCAGTCTGGAAATAATTCTCTTTTAATTGGAGTGTTCAATTCATTCACATCGAATGAAATTGTTGATATGGTTGAGTTTAATCTACCATTTTGCTATTTGATTTCCATTTTTCCTTCTGTTTTTCATTCTTCTGTTTCTCTATTTTTTAAATTTGTTTTGGATTAATTGAGTAATTTCAGTACTCTATTTCACTTCCTACATTAACTTTTTAGTATATATGTCAGCTTTTGTTTATTTAAACAAAATATCCTCATTTTTTATCCTCCTTTTTGAAAGATATTTTTCTTCGAGATATAGAAATCTTGGTTGACAGGCTTTTTATTTTCCTTGTAGCAATGTAAAGGCATTATTCCAGTGCCTTCTGGTCCCTGTTGTTTCTAATGAGAAGTAGTCTAAATTTCTTATTTTCCTTTGTATAAAACATGTCTTCTTTTTTTTTTAATCTAATGGACTTTAATATTTAGAGTGGTTTTTGGTTTACAGAAAAATGAACAGATAGTACAGAGAGTTCCTGTATACCCCTTCCCTCCCCTGCTCACACTTTCCCCATTACTGATACCTTGCGTTGGTGTGTCACATTTACTACAGTTGATGGATCAATGCTGACACATTATTATTAACTAAAGTCCATAGTTGACGTTAGGGTTCACTCTTTGTGTTGTACATTCCATGTGTTTTGACAAATGCACAATGTCCTATGTCTTCTGTTACAGTACCATATAGAATAAGTTCACTGCCTTAAAAATCCTGTGTTCCACCCATCCATCCTTTCTTATCTCCCCTCAAATCCTTGACAATCACTCATCTTTTTTACTGTCTCTACAGTTTTACCTTTTCCAGCACAATCATATAGCATGCAGCCTTTTCAGACCGATTTCTCTAAGCAATGTGCATTTAAGTTTCCTCCATATCTTTTCAGGGCTTGATAACTCTCTTTTTTTTCTTTTCTTTTTTTCTGTTTGCTTTGAAGATTTTCTCTTTAGTTTTGGCTTGCAACAGTGTGACTATGATGTACCTGGATGTGGTTTTCTTTGTATTAATCTGACTTAAGTTTTCTCAAGCTTATAAGATTTCTAAGTGATATTTCTCTTCAAATTTGCACATTTTCCAGCCACTCTTTCTTAAAATATGTTTTTTCTGCTTCATTATCACTCCTTTCTCCTTCTGAAACTGCAATTACATGTATTTTATAGTATTTGAT